TTTCCCCCCCCCCCCCTCTGATCCGTCTTCGTCCCCAATCCCTATCCTAGTTTTTTCAACCCCCTCATGTTTCGTCTCTCCAACTCTATGACTAAGAAGAAAAGAAAAAGAAGAAGAACATAGGAACTATTGGGTATTGTAAAAATAACCATTATTGATTTTTAAAAAAGCTTGAAAATTTAATCGGGTCTTGTTGATTTTGGTGTTCCATGACCTAAAATTTTAGTTTGAATTTGGGATTATTGTTGATTAAAACTTCACTTAGGTAATTAATTTTGATAAAATTCAAAAAATATCATTAACAAGTTTGAAGCTTTGGGTTGAGCTTGAATTTGGAATTTGTATAAGGATTTGTGATGGATGTTATTCAAAATCGGCNTGTCAGATGCTGATTGGCGCGTGTAAGAGCAATCTTTGAGCAGATGTGGTCAAACACTGAAGTGGTGTGTAATTGACACACCTTTAAAAGTTTTGGTGTGTAATATTATTTCTGTATTTAAGAGGTGTGTAAGAGGGATTTGGGGACAAGGTCGATGGGTAAAGTATGTATTTTGATGTGTCATTTATTTTGAAATAGATTAAAAAAAGTACCTCATCTAATATGAAACGAAGGATATAATTCTATCGTATGGATAAACTAAAGCAAGAGAAATAGTTAAAGGTGTACGAATAATAGTAGAGTAGAGGGGGTGGTAAATGGAGTCCGAAACTTAAATAGTGCCCTTTTGGGCAAAAAATATCTTTCTACTATTAAAAAAAAGTTACATAAGTACATAAAATGCAGTATAATACTACGTTTTACTTTAACAGAAGGTTAGCCGTTAAAGTTAAACGCAGTACTATACTGTGATTTATTAAAAGAAATTAATTTTTTAAGGAAAACGCAGTACAATACTGCGTTTCCCTATTAAAATTGGGCCCACCTTATAACTCTGCCATAAATGCCTATATTTTATTAAAGGAAAACGCAGTACAATACTGCGTTTAAGGGAAACGCAGTATTGTACTGCGTTTTCCTTTAATAAAATATAGGGCCCCTTCTTCTTCCCCAAGACAACGACTCTATTAAAAAACTCACCCTTCCTCACTGCTGGTCCCCCCCTCCCCCCGTCAAATTAAAAAAAAAAAAATTGGGCCCCACCCATCACCAAAAAGCAAAGAGTGTAGGTCCCGCACACAACACACGCTTTGGATTTCTTCTTTCGGGTTCAAAAATTCGATTTGAATCTATTTCAAAAAACTTAAATCGATGTATTTCGATTTTGTTTATGTCGAAACTCGTATAGTACATGCATATTTGTATTGTTGAATGTGTTTCCATGTTAATTTGTGTTTAAATTTGTATCTTATTTATACCCGGATTGATTTATTAGCTTTGGGACAAAAAATAGTTAAAACTTGATAAATAATTTTTATTGTTAATGTTAAGTTTTTATTTGCTTAAATAATAAATAAATATTATTTATTTAGATTGTTGTTCATATGTATATTATGTTTGTTGTTTTTATTTGTAATAGTGACCTTTTGGCGTAGTAAAATATAGAGTCTTTTAGCGTAGTAAAATATAGAGCCTTTTAGCGTAGTAAAATATATAGCCTTTTAGCGTAGTAAAATGTAGAGCTTTTTTAGCGTAGAGTCTCTGTAGTTTAAGTATGTAGTAACTGGAACTCATAGATAATTACTCAGTCGAATTCAATAATTAATTATTTAATTTATTAAACCAACAAAATTCTAAAAATATTGAAATTAACACGCATAATAATTAAGGATAACTTGGTGCTACCGGACCTCAAATATCGAGCCTGGAACCCATAGATAATTATTTAGTCCAATTCAATAATTAATTATTAAATTTATTAAATTAACAAAATTCTAAAAATATTGAAATTGACACACATAATAATTAAGGATAACTTGGTGCTACCAGGCCTCAAATATCGAGCCTGGAACCCATAGATAATTACTTAGTCCACTTTTAAAAATAATTATTTAATTTATTAAACTAACAAAATTCTAAAAATGTTGAAATTGACACACATAATAATTAAGGATAATTTGGTGCTACCGGGCCTCAAATATCGAGCCTAGAACCCATAGATAATTACTCAGTCTAATTTTAAAAAATAATTATTTAATTTATTAAACTAACACACATAATTAATTTTCTTTAAATTATAGTAGACGGCATGGACTTTCCGCATGCGCATCCTGGACCAGCCGAGGATCAGCTATTAGTGTTGCAGGGCGACCATAGGTCCTCCTTTGTATGGGAGGGACATCTATCAAATCAGCCTCTCCGCGCCAGGAGACCTGACGATTTGTGGGACTTCATGGCGCAGCATCATTTCCATGCCCGCGTAGTCGCGCACTTACATGCTACGGGCTTCTATACGATTTTTTGGATTGGGCGGATGCAGCTTGATTGGTCTCTTATCACGGCCTTGGTAGAGCGGTGGCGAACGGAGACGCACACTTTTCACTTGCCCACTGGAGAGGCCACCATCACGCTGGAGGATGTTCAGGTTTTGTACGGGTTACGTGTAGATGGACGGGCCGTTGCACTGCCCCAGTACATTAGATCCATGACGCGTGGATATTTGGATATGATGGGGCAGTATACTAGTTACAGACCTCAGGGTGACGCTGTATAGAGAGGGGGCAGTCGTGTTGCTTTGTTAGCCATCAGAGATCATATGGCGTTTTTGCACCCAGACATTACCGGCGAGATGGAGGATCTCCATATTGAGCGGTACACGAGGTTGGCGCTGCTCCTACTTTTTGGAGGTGTCTTGTTCCCAAACACTTTGGAAAGTCTAGTGAATATGCGCTTTCTCCATCATCTGCAGCAGCTAGATGATTTACCCCTGTACAGCTGGGGTGCTGCTGTTCTCGCATACCTGTATAGGAGCATGTGCCGGGCGAGCATGCTTTGCCAGGTGGACATATGTGGTTTTCTGCCCCTTTTACAGGTGACAACATTTTCGAATACTATGTTCATTACTCCGAATTCTATATGGTCGAAATGACTCTTAAATTTTACGTCAACCTTTTATCTTAGGTTTGGACCTGGCAGCGGATCATGCCGCTGCAGCCACCTCTACCATCACTAGAGCCCGGTGAGGCTCATCCATTTCTCCCTCTAGCTTCTAGGTGGGTTCTTCGGCGTGAGAACTACCGAGGGACCGATGCTCATCATAATCTCCCCCTTGTCAGGGATGTATTAGATATGTTGATGGCCGGACAGGTAAATATGTACCTACACTTACTTGTTATAAATTGAGTTGTGTTGTGCATACTCACTTTTATGTTATTATTTGGTAGTTCATCTGCACGCCATACAGCGACGAGTTACTAGCTCAGTTGCCCGATTATTGCTCAGTAGACCGACTGCTTTGGAGCACCTCCGTCCTGATGATCTTCTTCGATATGGTTGAGTATCATGCCACAGAGCGTGTGCTTCGCCAGTTTCACCGTCCCCATCCTATACCGGGGGAGCCTGCATGGGTGCCTACACACTATCAGCGGGATGACCGTACCAGGATGGACGAAAGATTTATGGGATGGCTAGAGCAGCAAGTCCATATTTGGGAGCAGCGAGGTGACCGTATTCCGCCACCACTTTCATTTACCCAGGAAGCTGCTATTCAACTGTATACGTCATGGTACTGCCGTCACACCCAACTGATGATCGGGAACCCCATTCATGTATTTGGTGAGCGCTACAGACCATACGCCGGGAGGAACGAGGCACTGGTATGTTTTTGTGGCTTATTAATATCTTATATTTATGATATAGCGTTATTTAATTAATATCTTAAGTGTTTCACAGTCTATTGGGCATCACCTGGTCTACCAGTTAGGACAGGAGATGCAGCAGCATGCCGACAGTGCTGCACTCGTTGAGTATGGACGGCGGGTGGCAGATCTGGCTCGTCGGACCTTGTTTCAAGCGATAGATGGCGCGAGGTTGGTCACGAGGCTCAGTATGCGGCTCTAGAGGACTGCCATCGGAGTAGGGTTGTCCCACGAGGTAGGGGTAGGGCATGAGGGAGGGGTACCCCACGAGGTAGGGGTGCCCCACGGGGTCGCGGGGGACGGCGAGGAAGTGGTCCCCAGCAAGGGGGCGTTGAGGCACCTGTCGACCCACCT